GGGCTGTATTATAAGGACTGATTATGAATTTTATGTTTTGATCCCTTTGTAGTCGTGAAACGCAGTGTAATAGCCTACCAGCAGTCTAAAATCGGAATAGCAACGGGAGACTATTCGGACTCAGGTCTAGACCTCGCTTACGGTACAACCGGTGATTGCGCACACGTACTGGAATTTGAGTCCGAATAGCCTCCAACGGCTGTAAGGACTTGAGTCCGAATAGCCACTTCGTTAGTTTAACAGGGGATGGGGGGAAGGGGGCTTTTGAAATACCAGTCTGAGTCATTTCATCACTGTGGTGCAGTCAAGTCAAGACGTCACAGTCATCTTGTCACACCCCAAATCCACAATGCTGAATGGAGATGGTCATTTCGTAGCGCACTTGCGAACGTCAAACGCACAATGTCATGGCAATCGCAAATCACGGGTTGGGGGTGTGTGTGGAAGGACAGGGTGGGGGTGCGAGTCGTCGTGCCTACCTGATCAGCTACACCGTTCATTAATAATATGTAGGCCTATTGACAATATTGAAATCTATTGAGTCAAATCAACACAGGTTTTAAGTAGGCCTATTATTGATGAAAGATGTGATTGGCAAGATCATATTAGTTTTGTTAACAATTAGCCTAAAATTAAAATAGCTAATAGAAATGTACGGTACAGCAATTTTGCTAAAAGCTAGACCTTTACTTTCAAATATTTTTAAAAACCTTACTAACTCTTTACCGCCCCTTGTTTTAGCCTTATTTCAAAAACTATTGTTCAGCTATGGAACAGACAGTTTAGACGAAGATTTAATTTACATTAATAATTTATATATAACTTCAAAAAAAGCTTTAGGCTGATCCTCCAAATCTCTATACTAGCATTACAATTTTGGAGATCGAAGTCATTTCATCACACATAATAATAATTGGGGTGTGACGGGATGACGTGCCGTGTGACGAAATGACGGGTTACCGGCTTTTGCACCTGGCAAGAAAATGCAAATAATGATAGTTTTTGGAAAATAAAAAAGTATTCTCTGTGTTTCAAAAGAGCCTTTTATATGAATAGCCTCCCAATACCCTTTGCACAGTATCAATATAATTTTAGTTACATCTGATGTATAAGATGAATCATGTGGAATTGCTACTCAACTTGGCTAGCAGTTAAATTATTTTTGGGATGTGGGTTTGTAAAAGATGGTACACTTTTTAAAAATAACTTTCTGCGATTTACCAATTTTATGCTTCCTATCCTATATATGACTCTTCAGTAAACTTTTTCTCTAAATTTGTCACAGGTATTCTCTGAACATCTTTTGACTACAGTAACTTCAAAACTGAAAGCCTATCATCCAAGATGTCAAAGACCGTCCTGAGTGTGTGTGATAAATGTGTCAGAAATCTGACGCGAGTAAACAATTCATCTGTACATCATGCAAGAACGCTGTCAGCCGGCGTCAAACTCAGCACAAAGCACCGAAGACGACTTGCCACTTCTCAGGCCCCTCCTGTCTTCTCATTAGCATCTCATCAGCTGTCAAACCCCGGACAAGACAACGCGGCCGTGTGGAGGTCGTGTCAGTCTAGGGGGTACAGATTCTCTTGGCTGAACGGTGACACGGGAGTGAGCAAAGCTGTTTCCGAGGCCGAGAAAATAGTTGGTTACCCGACCTCTTTCCTCAGTCTGAGATGCTTATTTTCTGACGAACTCTCTACCGTTGCTCTTCACATACGAAAATTAGTGGGAACAAAACATCCTCTTCTGAAAACTGCAAGGTAATATTTATACTTATACATCAATATAATGGAATGACTAAATGGGACTTCAAACTCCTATTACTGGGGAGACTTATTTCGTGCTGCTTTACATTTTCTGCTATCTTCAAGATTTGTTCATTAAGGTCAGAGTAGAGTAGAGTATATTGCAGTTCTGCCCACCACAAAATAAGAGCTTCTGTTTCTCTGTGTCCCCTCTCGATATTTGAACATTTGCTCCATACAATAAGCCCTCTAACTCTAATCATAGCAATGTACTGTACTCACCTAAAATGCATAAATTCGCTGGTCCAATGTAACAAGTGGAGGGTCGTAGCTTTAAGATTTTCTGGGAATGAGAGGAAGAGACATCAGCAGTAGTCAATACATTGTACAAATATATTGCATGTCAGAATCAAGCAGAAGTCAAAAATTTGTTTGTGGGTGCATTTTTCTCCAAAGTGCCTAGCTTTTCTGAGAAGTTTTGAGTTTTGTCATGTTTCCCTGCCAAAAAAATTACCTAAAGAAAGTTCATCCGTCTATTTCACAGCCTTATTAAATCGAGAACACTCTTATTACGTTTAATGGCTTTCTCAAAAATTTTATTATATGGTATTCACTTTTTTTGTGGCTTCTCTTAAAAACTCTAATCTAAAATCTCTTTGAACTACAGTGGTTTATTGTTTTCTTTCTTTGCCATCCCCCTCTCCCCCAGAGGCCTAGTGTTTGATGGTAAGCACAACCTTCAGATGAGGGGTCTTCTGGTCATGCTCATCTCCAAGGCAGCCGGGCCAAATCCTGACGCGGAGTACGCAGAGCAGGAGATGGTCAGTGGAGTCTACCCAAAGTGAGTTTCACCAAGTTACAGATAAAACTTTGTGTGTGTGTTGGGGGGGGGGGGGGGGGGATATAAATGTCTTTATTAGATTTAAATAATGTAAAAAAGTAAGGTGTATGCATCCATTTAGAAAAAAAAATGTCCAGTACTTTTGTTTGCCTTTGAAGCTACTACAGTCGAACCTGCCCTGACGGCCACCTGTACAAACGCCCACTTTCCATTTTCCCCCTTGCGTTTTTTCTATATCCGCCATATTTTAAAACACAACCCCTATCACACTAAGCAATAACACCTGTCTTAGACGGCCACCTTAGTGACTCCATTACGTTTTGTCATAAATTGTGCACTGGCCCCTGGCGTTTTGGGCAAGCTGTCATAATTCAATCACCTGTCGTTGTTGTTAGATAGTCCCTCCAACCGATCATGTTGGGTAGGCCCCTCCCACTTTTGACCAATAGGTACCAATTTTCAGCTGCTGGTGAGGTAAGCATGTGATCCCTCATAACCCATAAGCCCCGCCCAGAACTCATACACAAATCGTAAGTGAGATGAGTGGTCACTGTTTACCCAGTCTGTAACAAAGAAACAATGGACGTCAACATGAATTTGTGACAGAACATGGGTCTCAATAGTCTGCTATTTAGCGGATTTCCGCTACAGCCATTTCCTCCGCTAAACTCCGCTACCGCGACAGCGGGCCAATTAGAAAGAGAGTTGTTGGGAGCAGGGTGACTGCCAGGCCCCGGGAATTGAAAAAAAAAATTGCCGTGACCCGGGAAAATGCATAAAAGATCTCGAATATTTGAAAACGAGATCCAATAACGTCTTTAAGTTCATTTCTGCCGGTCGCGATTGTGATGTATTAATTCGGCTCTGCTGAGAGTACGTTTCCCGCGAACTGGCGGCTTTGGCGTCAAGCGGAATTGTGTCACCAAGGCTCGACTGGAAAATCAAGATCTACTTTCGCTTTCGTCACCACCCAGAAATTTGTCAGTAATAATAGTCCGATAACGCAACATTTATTGTAACATGCAGGTGCGGTATTACAAACGTGGTGTCGCCATGAAAATAAATTAATATTTGTCACTGTGCTGTCACTTGTGGGGGGCAACAACAACAAAAAAAAGAAAAGAAAGTTATTCATTATTCAAGCGTATTGTCGGGTTCGTCATTGTGACCGGTCATTGAACCTGCGCGCGTTCTGAGCGCTGCGAAGTACAGGGCTCGGGAATGGGGGGATATTATTGATTTTTTTAAAAAGACGCCCTCGCGGATAGGCCTAGGGGGAGGGGTGGACGCAACACCAGAGGACAAACTGAAACTGGAAGCAAATGTTTCGTGTTTAGAATTTTGATTACTACTACAGCTCTCTGCAAAGTAAAGTGTGCGTTGGTGCAGGCCTTGTGTGAAATTGGGAACCGTCATAACTTGTACGCGTGTTATTGACAGATCTCTATATTATAGCTTTCTGTTCAAGATTCGCAGATTTTCAGTGTCACTGCATCTTGCCCTCCCACAGTTCTTACACCTCTCACACTGAATAGGTCTACTTGGGCTATTCTACTCTACTTTGAGTTTGAGCATTAATTTTTGTCTTTCACGTTTATTTTATAGGCCTATATTATATATATATGATATGAATCATGACTTCTAGGCTCAAGAATATGATGAAGGGAAAATATAAATAAGTCGCACAAGACCCCAGGCGCCATCACTTTCTATACGTAATGAAGATTGTAAATATTTGGTGGGTGACTCTTACTTGAAATTATTTCACAAACCCTCAAATTGGTGTGAAATAACCTTGCTTTGATGAATTGATGGTTCAGCATTCTAGGGTTAAACAGTATAATAATGGGTCTTTCGCAAAAATGGGCTTCTGTGGCGATCACCCCGGAAAGTTCCTCCTTTTTTAGAATTCTGAGTTGAGACCCATGCAGAAGCCTCGCTCGTTCTCTTCTGAGTGGTGGCAACCCATGTGTTTGTTTTAACATGGTACTCGGTCTTCCTCGTCTGATACATTTCGTTTTGTTGTCACTCTTGCGCAAAATCAGCAACGAAATAAAAATAACAAACAAAATACAAACCAACAACAACAAAAACAAGAAACAATGCGACTACTTTCGATTGGGACTTCAGATGGGAATGGTTTGTTTTCTTCATCTTGATCAGTCCTGTCTAAGACGGCCACCTGTCTTATACGGCCACTTTTCTCCTTGACAATGGGTGGCCGTCTTACACAGATTTGACTGTACATGTAGGCTACTTTTGAGGGTTTGTGTTTTTGGGTGGGTTTGTTTTCTTTCCTCGAATGAACTTTTGCCCTTCAAGGCAGCAGCGACTTCAACATGGCTGATTGATAATTATTGAATTGTTTTATTTTTTTATAATTCTCTCCTTATTATTCTCTCTCTCTCTCTCTCTCTCTCTCTCTCTCTCTCTCTCTCTCTCTCTGCGGCTCGTTAATTTGGGGTTTCGATTTTTGCATCCCACCTCCTCCTATCACTTTCTCCCCTCTCTGCTAATAATAATGAAGATGTGTTTGCTTCTCCCCCCC